AGTAAAGAGTGCTGGTTTGATCATTTTACAAACGTTTTTCAGTGTACAGATGTATTACATGCTGAAGTCGAATGTCAATGTGATGAAGATTTTATACTTGATGAGATTGACCAGTGTATTTTGGAGTCGCCGATTACCGACTCAGAAATCCACAAGGCTATAAATCGTTTAAAGAATGGCAAATCCCCTGGTGTTGATGACGTGGTCATTGAAATGTTAAAATGTTGTGAAAATGTAATAACTCCTTTCCTACGAAATTTGTTCAATAAGTTATTTGATTCTGGATTATTCCCTCAGAACTGGACGAAAGCTATTATCCTTCCACTACATAAGAAAGGTAACAAAAATAATCCAGATAACTTTAGAGGGATATCTCTATTGTGTACAATTAGTAAGGTTTACACAAGTGTCTTAAACTCTAGACTTACAAACTGGGCTAATATAAGAAGTAAATTACCCGAGACACAAGCAGGCTTTAGACAGGGATATTCTCCTGCTGACCACATATTCACGTTGAATGCAATTGTTAACAAATGTTTATCGAAAAGAAAAGGGAAATTATACGTTGCTTTTGTGGATTTTAAAAAAGCCTTTGATTCAGTAAATCATCTTAAACTATGGGAGTGTCTGCACGATGTAGGCTTGGGTGGAAAGATGATGAGAGCACTTAAGGGAATCTATGCCTCCGTGAAAGCGTGTGTGAGATGTCATGATAACATTTATACAGAATATTTTGATTGTCCTAACGGAGTTAAACAAGGCTGTATATTAAGCCCTCTATTATTTTCCTTTTTCATCAATGAACTGTCAAATGATGTTTCATCACATGGGAAACACGGCGTACAATTATTTCCTGACTTGTTTGAAATATTATTATTATTGTTTGCCGACGATGTTATTCTTGTCTCTGACACAGTAACTGGTTTACAGAACCAACTTAATATTCTTAATAACTTTGCAGATTCACATGGATTAACGGTTAATTTAGATAAAACGAGTGTTGTTGTATTTAGACGAGGAGGGCGGTTATCTGTTCATGAGAAATGGTTCTATAAAGGCAAACGTATTTCAACCGCCAACTCCTATAGATATCTTGGGTTTGTATTCTCATATACATCAAAGATGAACCAATGTGTTTCAGATCTAGCGTCAAGGGGTAAACGAGCTTTAATGGAAATATTTCGCAATCTACGGAAGATTGGTTTTGTTGACGCTTCAGTTTTCTTTAAAATATTTGATACTCAGATTCAACCTATTCTTTTATATGGTGCGGAAATATGGGGTGTAGACAGATTTGAAAAAATAGAACAAGTGCATATTATGGCTTGTAAGAAGTTTGCAAATGCTATTGTGTATGGGGAATGCGGTCGGTACCCACTACATGTAAATGCTATGTGTCGTTCTGTAAAGTATTGGCTAAAACTGATTGAAATGGACGAAGATAGGATACCAAGAAAATCTTATAATATGCTTGTATATAACGACAAGTGTGGTCGTCATAACTATGCTTCTTCTATTCGTTCCATATTATTTTCTCACGGATTCGGAGTAGTTTGGCTCAGTCAAGCTGTTGGCGACAAACCATCATTCATGAATAGTTTTAAAAACGTTTTGATAAATATGTTCTACCAATCATGGAATAGTACTATCAAGGCTAGTTCTAGGTACATTCTGTATAAAGAATTTAAAAGTCTCCTGGAACCAGAAAAATACCTTTCCATTATTACTGAAATAAAATATCGAAATGTTTTGATAAGGCTTAGAGCCGGGCTACTAAGACTTAAGGTAAACGAAGGTAGATGGGCTGATATTGACTTACGTTTACGACTCTGCCCCATATGTGAAACAAGTATAGAGAGTGAATATCATTTTACTTTAGAATGTGAATATTACAACGATATTAGACATCTGTATTTACCAACAACATTTTGCAATAATCCAAATATGCATAAATTTAAAGCGCTACTGTCATCTTCGTGTAAACAATTACTTGGAAAACTATGTAAATACCTGTATTACAGCTATGAAAGAAGACGTAATTATGAAAAGCCTGTAAACCTGTAAATTTGTACCTGACATTACCTTTTTTCATGTACCACACTATTTCAAATGTATGTATTGTATATGGGCCAGTGGCCTTGGTACAAATAAAGTCTTCTTCTTCTTTTCTTCTATTATACAAAGACTGTCTAATAAAAAAACCAACGCCCCCCGAGCCGTGCTTCGCACGTACGTGTAGGGCAGTACGGTTATGGCCGTACCACACGTAGTTATCTAGACACAGTTTCTTGTCTGCACACAAGTGCGTTTCTGCCACGCCCACAATATCAAGGTCACAACATAGTATTGATTCACTGCGTATTACATGATTGTCACTCTCACCGTCACAAGACCATCCCGCCACATTCCAAAATCCGCATCGGACCTATCTCCTCCCTCCTCTTCTATGTTGTCCATAGCCTGATGTACCCCGAGTGTTTCTCTCTTCGTCTCGTCTGTCACTTCCACGCCGGTTCCCCTTGACTGACTCCCATGCTCCGTCCTCTGCACGTGCTCTGTTATCATCGCAGTTGTCAATTTCAGATTGGGGCCATGTATTTCGGTGTCGATTGCTGTCAACATTGTCTCGATTAGATCGGTACACTTGCAGGCGGGCACCCTTACTCTCACCTTGTCATTTCCAATCGCTATGGCGATCGTTTTCAGGTTGGCTTCATAAAAATGTCTTTAAAATTTCTGGAGTGTTGTAGCTTTGATTTGGATTGCAGGATCAGTGACTTGTCCTCCATTGAGCGACATGTGGCTACCGGGGTAGCGTGACTCCCGCCTGTTCGACTTTCTCTCAGCATGTACTATGTCAACATCTTTTAATCTCATACCATCTTTGAGAACACTATTTACCTTATTTTTCACATTCTCACCTTCAGACTCTATAACATTCCGGAAGATAAGGTTCAGTTTGATGAGATCTTCTTTTTTGCCAACAGCTGATTTCATGTCGTTCAGCTGTTTGTTTACATTGTCGATTTCCGTGGACTGTTTGCTGTCGATCTTGCTGATTCGATCGTTTATTTGTTTAATTTCACATTTCATATCTTCTCTGACCTCCTGCAGCTTTATGTTTACTGTTTCCTCCATTCTCTTGATCATATGTTTCTCGAATGTGTCCATTTTCTTCGTCAGAGTGGCAGTGAGAGAATGCATTGCGTTCACTAAGTCTGTCATACTTTTATCTTCTGAATGTTTTTTGTCAGAGTCATTTCTCACCTCATGATCACTCTTTACTTTCTTATGTTCACTGTCCTGATCATCTGCCGAGAGCGTTCTCTTTCTTCTGGGACTTGTGTCTTTCACTCTCTCACAACTCGAGGTAGCCATTACCGCCGACACAAAACTTTGTGACAGGCCCAAGTCCATCGCGGCCTCTGTTTCGGTCATTTATATATCGATCTAAAAAATAATATCACAGATCGTTAGTCCGATTGACCACTCGTCCCACACAACTTACTATTTCTTTTGTGGTTTGGCGATTTAGCTTTATCGCTTTTTTTCTCACTTCGTTTTCTCTCCGAATTCAAAACTGTCCTCACTGGTCACGCATGCGCATGTCCTGTACCTGTGTAAAGGGTGAGTTTGTCGAAAGAAATAATGAAGATATACATTATCAAAAATTCTCAGATATGTTGTTATCTAACGATTGTAAATTTATATATAAATAAATAAGTCAATTGCAAGCCAACTCACTCGATATCCTTTGTGCAAAGTGGGAGTCGAAGCTAACTGGGACATAACTGGAGACTATCCGTCAGATTGCTTTGATATGATTCAGAAATCAGGTTTGGATAATAAATCAAGAAATCAAACTTATCCACAGAATTATAACAACTATCTTTTTGGAAATGAATATTGCAAAAAGTGAAGATATGAATTATGTTCGTTTTGTAATAAAGGAGCTGAAACCATAGCATATCTTTTCATTTATTGCAATGAGATTAGAAATCTTATTTAAAAATCATTTCCTTGTATGAAGAAAGAACTACTAAGACCCAGCATCTCGATAACATGCCATTCCTACTTGGAGACCCCAACCTGAGCAGTCTTGTAACCCACCTCTGTATTATTCTGAAAACATGTTTAAACACTTGTCTTTATATAGATAGTATTCCTGATTTTAGCCAAGTATTATATTTGATAAACAAATTATTACAACAAAGAAATATATACATATATACATATATATATATATATATATATATATATACACAAAAATGAGGTAAATAAAATAATAAAAGTCCACGTTAGTCCATCATATTCTTTATATCAGTTTCAGACAACTGATATAAAGAAGATGATGGACTAACGTGGATTTTATTATTTTATTTTATATATATATATATATATACCTCAGAAAGTGTTAAGATAAACGAAAAATGGTCAAGTTTTAACTTAGATTAGATATTGCCATCATATCTCGTCCACATCCTTCTCGTCCTCACTATTGAAATAAACTCTTTAACATCCCAGTAACCCACATGGGTATGTAAGGGGTTGTGTCAATCGTGTTTTTTTATCTATTTTTTATAAAGGTGGTCAATCAGTGATAGCACTCACGTAAGTGTCATCAAGCTTGTTTGGTAAGTAGTGTATGAAACATGTACTGCGCAAGCTTGTACGGTTTTCAATCAATCAACTATATTTCTATAAGAGACCTGGGGCCTATGTACAAAATATACAAAACAAGAGGTTTTCCACTTTAGTGATTGTCAAACATTCACCATACTTAAGCACACCCGTGTGAGATTTAGTGGTGAGAAAACGCACAGCTTATGTTACTATTATTTATCATAAGATACCAGATTTCATAAGATAGTCCCGTTTTTTCTCATGAAGGGATATATTTCCGATATTTGTTAATGCAACTACATCAAGGAGACCCTGACACATAAAAGTACTGGAGCATAAAGCCGTTACTGTTCAACCACTTCGGAATATACACACTTAACAATGCAGACAGGGTTTTTTCTTGTGGCTGACAACATTCAGTGCAGATCTTACACAACGCTGCATTGAAATAGAACCTGTACACCTGCCGTGGCTCATATGTGGGATAAGAAGGTGTGGTGGTCTATGTGCTGGAGTTGAGGCTGTGGCGTTGTACAGTGCTATACTGAAGAAAATGGATTACCTTTCCTTGTACGATTAGGGTAAGTGTAATCAAAATGTTCAAACTTACTCAACTACCCTGATCACTTCATCAAGACTTCACTAGCTGCAAATATCGTATCAGTCAGGCTAGCCTAAAGATCCTTTGCGATTACTTGACAGAATAATAAAAAATCCCAAGATCAAACTTATGTATTTGTTATCCCATTAACAGGTCAAAGGAAGCTTAGGTTAGGTGAAATGGGGTTTAACGTCGCGTCCAAGATTATTGCACTTACATGTATATATTCGCTGTCAAATATAACAAACAAATACACAAACTAATATATAACTGAAACTGAATAATTTGCCGGGAATCACAGCTTATCTGAATAGAATGACTGGTGACTTATTCGAATATATTGCCGGAAAACATATACAGATATTGGTTTCTAAAATTGCTTGCAAGTGAGAAAACTGTGTTTATTGATTTTTTTAAAAGTTTCTCCCGCCCTCTCCTTGTCATCTCTGACTTGAGCACATTGACACGCGATTCTCCTTTTTCATTTGCATACGCTACTTAGCTTAAACCTAATACAGTGATCTGCGTAATATTATAATGTAGTCGACTATGTATAACAGATAAGGTCACAATCCAAAATGGCTGCTCTAGCAATATCTAGGCTGCCACCCAAACCTATCCAAGCATGACAAAATTTACTTAAAAGGAGAACTGTTTAATGTTTCCATTACATATTACATACTTGATGTTTCATCTTCGCTATATATTAACTCCTGTTACCGTTCCAAAGCCTTCCTGTAATATTGCATCTTTATTCAACAATATCAAGAGCAGCTCCTCTTTTTCCTCTCTCTCGCTCTCTCTTTGCCAGTCGCCATTGTTCAGCTTCAGAAATCACTCAGACGTGATAAACCCATATACAATAGGAAATGAGGTTATAGTCTGTTTCGGAGCATAGTCTATAGTCTATAGCCATCCAAAAATAACAAGTAATTGTAAATGTCACAGTGATTTTCTTTATTCACATCGCATAATTCTGGTGATGATATGTATAAATCATTATAAATTCGTGCAATTATTTTATATGTCATTAAAAAATTACATTCATATCATTCTGTATTCATACTTTGTTCACAAATGCAGTAGCCAGCTAATCAATATGGCACGATACATTTTCTTTTTGGGACGGATGGAACTGCCCGAACGTAACTGTTACTTACGGGGGTAATTTCAACATTGGGTTGTTCTTTCTTTATCAAGTCAGTGAAGTTGCTGACAATTTCACAATTTTGACATCACTGATATAATATATACCCTGTGGTAATTCTCGCCATTTGATAATTTTGTCCTGGAGCTTAAATGTTGTTGACATTATTATATATTTATGTAAGCATTCGTCTCAATTATTGTAGTGTGGTCCAACGTGATCAAGCAATCTATTTTTAATCTCCAACCAGTTCTTTGGTTTTGGCACAGAATAATTGACAACCTTGTTGCCTTCCCTGTTCTATGAAGTTTTTTTCTCGTCTTCGCTAATACCACTGGTCTTTGATCGAATCTCCTGCTTCATTCCGTTGTATTTGCTGAGTTCTGACGACACTAAACGAAACTCATCCTTGGATGTCTTACAATCAGCCAGTGCTGTTGAAATATGATCTTCAATGCCGTTCAACTTTGCTTCAGCGAGTAGCCGAATATTATCATGTTTTAATGCTTTCTTTTGCAACTTACGAGAAATAAATATTATCGCTATTCCTGCCAGTCCTGAGACTCCGGTGGCTACTTCAATACAAAGTATGATAGGCGTGGCGATTATAGTTGATAATAAACCAACACCAGCTACACCGAGTCCCTTGCCAGCTGTTTCAAGCGCAGTGTCAACTCCGTCGAGAGCATTCACAGCTCTGCGATTCTTTTTATACGAAACCCCCTCAACTCCCTCTCCTTCTCTGTTCGATGTTTTATGTCGCTTATTTGATGTAATCGAAATCCATCAACAGTATCCATCTTTTCAAATGCTTCATCGAGCGCCGGATATAAACCCATAGGGTATATTATACACATGCACAAAGCACATGCGACACCCACCATATTTGTGAGCTGTTACTTTTGGCACTTAATGATGACTATTATAACAAGATGTACGATCGTTATAAGCCGTATATAAAAACCTCATGTGATGCAAAAGTTGTCCCAAAGCAAGTTTATCTTGTGTTCCAAAAGAATATGAGCAGAAAGGAATTTTACCAAAGATCAGAAATTGAAGGATTAGAAAACATTGAAAAACTTTTTATGTCATGTAACTGTCATGATATCAGCAGACCATATCAGGTGTCACATAGACACCCTAGGGAGTGCAGAGTCTATTGCAAGACAGAAACGTCAGTAACGTGTGTATGATCCATGGACAGTGACCACAGCTTCAACCCTACCCCTCATACTCATAACAAGTCGTTGAATGCTTCTCTGAGGCAAACGGATCCATTCTTCCTGAAGTGCGGCTTCAAGTCCAGCGAGATTTTTAACTGGGGAATCACGATGTCTGATTTTCAGTCCAAGAATGTCCGAGAGATGCTCAATCGGATTGAGATCCGGACTACAGACCGGCCAAGGAAGAGTGGCAATAGCTTCTTGACGCAAATAAGCCAAAACTGCCCGAGATCTGTGTGGTCTAGCATTGTCGTCCATGTAAACAGGTCTTGTCTTGTCAAAATGAGCGACTACCACTGGATGAAGAACGGCATCTTGGTATTGTTAGCCATTCAGGTTTCCACGAATTGTCACCAGCAGAAGTTTGAAGCCGAAGGAAACACAACCCCATATCATGACAGACCCCCCGCCACATGCTAAGGTCTTCTGGATGTTCCTTGGTGCAAAAAGAGTGTTACGTTGCCTCCAAACATGTATTTGACTATCAACAGTTTGTAGCAGCATTCGACACTCGTCAGACCAATGGATCCTTCTCCAGTTGGCCAAGTTCCATCCACTACGGGCATGACACCATATCAGACGATTCCGCATGTGCCTCTCAGTCAGTTGAGGACGTTTTACTGGTCTTCTGGCGTTATAACCAGCCCCTCTGAGGCGACGCCTTACGGTCATCGTCGAGAGTCTCTGACGGGTAATCCACTGCAGTCTTAAATCTGTTGAAATGGCAAATTGATTTCGTCTGAATATCCTGAAAAGACATCTATCGCACACAGGAGCAAAATGCAACCACGTGTCTGAAACTTGAATTTCGCTATTAATAGGGTAGGGGAACTGCAGCAACACGTAAAGCACGCTTTCCTTATGGTATCTGGACAAATTTGGGTTCATGAAACTATGGAAGCCTAATTCAGCCATACATCATCTTATTTCGTATTTCTGATTCCCACACGTGAAATCAAGAGACTATGAATATGGTGGCGCTTAACTTTAGTGCATGCGTATATTATATCATTTAATAGTCTTTAATTGGTCTTGCTTCAATGTTTTGAGTGTATACATCAACCTTATTAAATGTATATTATACGGCATACATATCTTAGTAAGAGAAATGCTATCACCTTTAATAATTTGGACCCCCTCAAGGGTTGCAACAGGCGATACTCCCATATAAATAATACTGCAACGTCGATGCTCGTGTTTCTTAAGCCATTTAATTGATAGACCTGGTAATATTCTGATGTACTCCAAACAAGACTTCAATGATAATTGTAGAATGATCAGGTATAACATTCAAGTTATCTTTTATATCATTGAATTCAGTAACCAAATTTAAACTAACATTTTTTTATGCCGGACGGCTCAATAACATATCACCTCGGTTTTCTGACAGGGAGACTAACACACTTTTTCGTTTTAATGGGATATAAGCCCCGAGTACGATCCCAATATTTTTTATCTTATTTAAATAATGTGCCTTACCCATCATCACATATGGTGGGGTAATGATGATATTCAATAGCCACTCGATTTTTTCTTCGACCATAGTCCATTTATTATCATGGTTGCGAGTAAGATTGTATGAAGTGTTTTTATTGAGTCTACTAACGTCGACATCGCTAACATCTCCTAGATTACCTGTGAATGTAGCTTCTTTCTGCTTGTTTACATTATCTTGTAAGTGTAGAGCATATAACTTGCCGGGTGTACCGGGTTTACCGAATCCAGTGTCTCCGAGATCGTAAAGCGCAATTGTATTACATTGGCTAAGGTTATACGATCCAGGGCGTAATGAATCAACCATTATTTATTATACGGAGTGTTACACTTAAGTATCCTATATGTACAGGTTGATGTTATAAATCTAATACAGAAATGTTGAGATTTGAAATAATATCCTGTTTTATTTTTTTATATTGTAATGTTGAGAAAGATTCCGTTCTACCGCAATTATATTTTTCTGCTTTGACTGGAATAGCTCTCAGCAGAGTTAAAGGTCTTTCGATTTGAATAGTATCCGTTGTACTGATCTGATGAAGATGGATGCACATCTCTTTATAGGGAACTAAATCTGGTAATTTAACTCCCTGCTGTGTTTCGTTGGGTTGTATTACTGTCGTCGAGCTTCCATGTCCAAGTGTATCTGCTATCTTAGGGGCAGGAAATATTTGCCTTTCTCAAGGGTTTAATTTCAGCTTCCCATTCGACTCATTTTGTGAGACTAACTCCCAAAGGCTTAAAAAATTCATCATTGAGTGAGCATACGCTGTAATACCCATCAGATATAGTGTAAATGTTATTGTCATCTAATATATATAGTACTATCTGATTATTTCTTCTCGCAGCACCTATATTGATCCACCGCGGGTAATACGTTACATTGCAGATCGCGACTTCAAGTTGACCAGCCGAGTTATTGATAGTATGAAGCAGTTGAATAGACTGACCATTTGTTATTCCTGGGAGTGTAACATACATATTAAAAATCCAAAGATACTATATCATAACTTAAATATGAAATTGACTTACATTACGAATCAGTCGATTTTAGTAAGTGTCTCTGGTGCTAATGTTTGTGTTAAATTCCCTGATATCTTTGAAAAATACAGGGTC